CAAAATGTGGTAAGAACAAAAAAGTGCGGCAACTTGGAATCTATTTGTTAAATGGATTTCGAACCAGGCGATGAAGTCGTGGTATGGAACGAAAATCATCAAAAAAATGGTGAAGTAGCTTGGGAGATCCGGAAGGCACGCTTCCCTTACATCAACATTGTCACAGTCGACTTAGAAGGGGAACAGATGAGGAAAATATTGTTGATAGGTTCCGATCCAAAGTGAACGAAAGCACTCACATTGTGCCGTTCAGCGAGGTATGTCATTCAACCCTTCCCCTCTTAACTGTTAAATAGTTGTAGATGTATTAATTCCAAGTCATTGTGTTGAGTTCTCTAGCAAGTATCTTTACTCTAAGAGACTCTCTCTTGAACAAGGCGAATAAATGAGAACCCTAACGAAGTGCTGGGGGTTAACCTGCAATGTACTGGGATAGTAGAAATACTGCCTGTTGTTTCAAGCAAAGAAACTGACATAAGCTCCAGTAAGGTGTGTCCTTAAGCTTGCCAGAAGACTTGAACAGCTTTTCCTTATATGTAATTTACAGTTAAAACCAAATGGTCTTTATCCGTAGTTTTTGGAAGCTGTTTGGATCGGTTCTCAATCCGTTTAAATCATTTGTATCCTAGACCACTAATATCCTCTTGAAATCGTCATATTCCGGCGCCATTTTCAGCGTTTTTCTGCCTTTCAAAAGACTAACGAAAACAAACGACTAACATTCTCATAAAACACAAAGGTTATCTGCGAATAAAGTGCACTAGCTCATAAGTCGCTTTTCACCACGAAAACGAAAGCTTTAGTTTGTTACTCTAAGATCATGCCAGGAAAAGAAAATCACTGAAACGGTTGTCTCATAACGCTTTTGTGCAAATGCGTTTATTTTTTTTTTCTATTTATCATCCAACAGTTTGGTAACGAGTTATAGGCATTCATTGTTCAGTTTATTATATTGATGCTGAAAAACCCATTCAGGGAGCTTTAATAAAGATCTGCTTCTATATCTATCTGTATCTAGTTCAAACAGCTCAGTTCGTCTGAGCAAACAATATTGGATTTTAACCGTCGCAACGACCAGCCAATGAATTTGAGCAAATATTTAAAACCTTTTAGCGAAATAAAGCTATGTTAGTATTAAGAACAATAGTAATATATTAATTGCACGTTCTGCAATCATTTGCCAATCAATGTCGCTGCTGTTGACACTAGTGCACTTTGCAGAATCAGATCATGAATATGCAGATGGCAATGTTTTCCGAGTCACGTCCATTCAAACTGAACCTATGATTCAATTTCTTTTTCTTTGTGAGAGTACAAAACGAACGAAAAAACTAATTCTCTTTCCATTTAAAATCCAGGTGTTTCACTTGAGCGGCATGCGCTTACCAGCTAAACTCCTAATCGAAAAATTCCGCTAGAAGAACCAGAAAGTTCATGTTCATTTGGATCGCCTACAAAACTGGGGAGCATTCAAGCACGACCTCAAAGACATCAACTGTGACAGCTACAGCGGAGGGAGACACAAGTGGTTCCTTGGAGAGACGGGTATCTTGTACATGAAGAAAGAAAGTGTGCCCAGTTTCTGGCCCAAAGATATTGGGTACAATGGCGAGATAGAGCCTCCACCTACCTTCCCGGGTGACCCACTGCCAGATGATGCGTCAAGGTTTGAGATGGTTGGCCAAAGGAACGATAACAACCTTATTGGGCTGCTGTATACTGTCGATCTGATGGATTTGATAGGCTTCGACAAAATCGAGAAGAGAATCAAGTCATTGACTGAGCGACTAAGGGGCGGCTTGGACGAGGTGGCGCTTGTATACTGTCATACTGCCTTCCACGACATTTAAATTTGCTATTCTCAGGCCTGCTCCTGTAGGATTGCGATCACCTCCTCGAATGTTCACAATTTGATCTTAAAACCCAGAATCCTTGATTTCTTGCTTCAGAACCCTCTCAATAGTTTTTTAAACTCGTTTTAGCCAGCGTAAGAGGTTTTCCTTCAAAATAGAACATCCAGCTAATTGCTCAATTTAGTTATAGAGAAACAGAATTTGAATTCACATTATTGTTTGACGATTTTTTTCCCAGCGAAATAACATTTCTCGATTTGATTGAGTGAATAATTTGGAGCTCGTTTATTGTATTTCTTAGCTCTAGCGGCTGAAATGAAATTCGAACTGCAAGCCCTAACAATTGTTATTACCTCGATTCTCAAAATACTTCAAGGCACTCAGAGTTTAATTGAAGAATTTCACAGCTTCAGCGGCTAAAAAAAATAAAACTGAGATTATGTTTCAAAAATTTATATTTACATCCAGAAAATTGTTTAAGTGAGAAACACTAGCTACAATTTGCAACTCTACTAATGATACAAAATCATGGACATTTTCAGACGCTTTCAATCTGAATCTTCTATCCTGCGTTACATTCGAAAACAGGCCACTTTAAAGGTCTTTTTTATTAGTAAAAGCATAATGGAAAGTTGTGGGAAAAAAGTATTGCTTGGTTGTAAAAACTACAGCATTAAAAAGCATCGGATTTCCACGATTGAAATATCTTTATCTTGCCATGATGCTTTTTCAGTTTAAAACATCATATCGTAGGAAAAAAAAAAACAGAAGTTCAAAGTAACTATATGCAAAATTCTTTGAAAGACTTGAACTTACAGGAGAAAAGCCTTTTAATTCATTTTCCCTCACCACATTCATCCGGATTGAAACTATTTTCCTTCTAATTCGGACAGAAAACTAGATAACACAGAGACAATAGAAGAACTACAGTAAATACAATTTGGGTAGCTTGTTTCAGGTTGAGCAAGTACCTACGGAAAAATTTATTCCAAAAACCTATCAAATTCATAGATCACAAAAATAAGAGATCAATTCTGTAATTTTAGATCTAATTACTTGAAATAAATTCTAGATTCCAGCAATTTTGTCAACATCAAGTCTCTCTTGAACCTGTTCTTTAACATACATGTCCTCGGCAGAATCGGATTTTCAACGGCTATGGAGTTTCAACAGCCGCTCTCTTGATGGATTTTTCCTCAATTTAGTTTCGATGGATGCGGCACCCCTAGAACTAAAGCTATGCAAAGCGTAAAGACGTTGATCATATACCAACTCATCCGAGTTCCTCTTCATCATGTCCCATGAAGGACGTGTAAGAAACTTTTTTATCACATAAACTGTGGTGTTATACAAGGATTTCCGGCCCTGAGAAAAGCCGTAACAACACACTTGAAAAGATATCATATTTTTTAACGTGTGTTGACGCGTCACTCACCTTTGGCGCCACTCTGCCAGGTTGATGAATGAATGGCAAAGCCTTTACGATTCTCAATACAAGTTGTTTGTTGGAGCTTTCGCGAATTGTGGCGGCTAAAACGCCAAAAAATCCGTATCGCTGATAGACAGTGAGGTTAAAACGTTCCTAGAAGGGGAAGAAAACCAATATACTAAAAGAAAAACCGAAAGTTACGTATTCAGTGGCTTTGGTGTTAGCAATTCTCTCTGCTGAGACTTACCACCAGCCGATTTTGGCGGTTCACCTGGAAGACTTCTTCTGTCGGTAAGGACAAAGTCAATAATTGAGAATTCTATAAATTGAAAATTACTACCACTGTTGTTTTTGTAATCATGATTCAACGCGTTTTTCCATCTTAGGAGTTAGCGGCAACGCTCTCTACGATTGTTATTCAGGGATTGCAGATTCATTTATTTTCATTCATTAACAAAGTCGGCTTTTCTTCTCCGTAAAGGGCAATTGTGTTTATATGATAAACAAAATAATACATGATTGCTTGTAGATATGGAGTTTCCCTTCTCGTGTTCAACTCGAAGAAAAATTCCATATCTACGTGCGCCCATGTATTATTCTCTATATGTTACCCAATACGTGCTATCCGCTAGATTTCAAAAACAAAATTTTCCTAAACAAAAGTTCAGAAGACATGGAAATGTTGATGTTAGCATAATCTAAATATCTTAGCAATAAACGATAGGGACACGTAAAATTTCTAGACTTATGAATAAATACAAATTGACCTCCTCTGCATATTAGAGAGTCAAGTCGACTCTAATCTAACATCATATAGCGTAACTATTCCATTGGCTAGAAACAAGTGAATGAATCCTTACCTCTGCCATGGCGACAAGTGTCATCACCCCTAAAATAGTAGTATTCCCTAAACATCGTAGAATAAAATACCCGAAAAATACTTTGGCTCGAAAATTTGTTTAATGTCGAGAGTAGTGATATTTTCCCACCAAAATTTGACATCTGCAAGGCAAAAAATGGTCCATTTCAAATTTGGTATCCCAATCGGGAGAAGCGGCTACGGATGTCAGACAGTGTCTAGTCATGATAGGGGCCAGTCTGCCCACAACAGGACTCATAGACATAACTGATCATGAACCGAGGAAGGAAGATAATAAACGTGCAGGAACGAAAAGTTTAGATTGGATATAGTCTATAATTGAACATGCCTTGTCAACTCTGCTCTGTTTAATCGAAATGGTGCCGTTCCCACAGTCCAAAGTAACACCAGGCAAGTCAAGTTTTTTGAACAGGGTTCGAATACTCTTTGATTCATTAATGACAAAACCAGAGGCGCATAAATCACCTTTCATAGGATAAGAAGCGGGATCTAAATATACTTCACAATGAAAACACTGGACCCCCAATACTTGACCAGCGGCCTTAAAATTTTGGTAAAATATACTGAGCAGTAGATAATCCAAACAGAAGAACATTAAACATGACAAAACGTTCTCTGCCATCAGGGAACATCCACGATAAACTTGTCTATGATGAGGACAAATGTCTAAATGATGATAACCACTTTTAAAATCGAAGTTAATTGCCTGATTTCATGGCGCGCGGGAGACTGGCACTACCGGATTTTTGCGGACTTTGTAATTGTACTATATTCCAGATTCAAAATGGCTGCAAGCAATCCAAAAACTCATCTAAAATGTGAATCGAAATTGTCTACTTTTGAGGCAATCAAATGTGATATATCACCAGAAAACTTGCCATCACTCGGCAAAGAAAGTCTGAAGCAATATTGTAAGGAATTGAGGCTAAAGGTCACCGGGGAAAAGCAAGAACTTGTTGAAAAGTTGGCTCCTCTAGGGAAATCTGCTGAACTATTCCAGAAGAAAGTACTTATAAATTCTCCACCTCACTTGAACCCTCGGAAGTTCCTTCTCCATCGGCAAATTGGAAAATAGTAGGAAGAAATGAAGATCCTAACGTCCCTGTGGTTAACGAAAATACTATTCGAGACTACCAAAAAGCCAAATACGCAGGTAAAAAAGGTCAGTACCGAAAGGCGCACCTTATGTTTTCTTCGAGGCGAATAACGTCTGTGAAAATGATGGAAAGCAATTCTAAACGCTCATTTGTAAAAGCAAACATCCTCAAATCCTACACAGGAAGTATTTCCCGTCCTGTAACCATAATGTTTGTTGGTAATACACCTACCCAAGCATATTGTCCTTGTGCAGTGGGGAAAAGTGGAGTGTGCTGTCATGCAATCGCCTTGCTGATGCAGTTGAATTATTTTAGAGAACATAAGAAGCTGTTTCTTCATGACTTGCACAGAAAAATTACAAAAATGGCACCTGAAAGGACCTGCATGTAATAGAACAATATAGTCAGCATCACAGATCAAGCTGAAGTATTTGAGAAATCTTAGAGGAGCAAGAAGGGATATAAAAAAAAAAAGAAAGAAGAAAAAAATTGTAGAGCAAAATAAGGAAAGAAGTGATTTCAGTGATTGGTATAAACGTGATGTGATTGAAATAGAAAGGAAAATCATGGAGAATATTGCAAAAAAGAAATCAGTTGAAAACCATGTTTATTCAGTGTTGTCCAGATACAAGAAGAAATCTGGCTTGTTTTTACATTTAAGATATAAAACAGAGTATGAAAGAAGGGAGAAAGGACTAGATCATGACAAAGAAGTATTAAAACCAAGATTCCAGGCAGGTACTAAGTCAATTTGGAGGCCACAAATATCAACTGAGTCAAAGGATGATTCATGCAGCAGCAGCCCATCTGACCAGTCATTCCAGAATGAAAAGATTATCATTCCTTTATTGAAAAAGCAGAATTATTTGGAAGTTGAGCAGTGTTCTAATGAATAGAGAGCACCAAGAGTTGGGACTATCACTACAAGCAAGGTTCCATCTCTCCCAGGATTTAATGGTGTGAAAGAGTTTGACAATGGATGGTTTGCAATAAAGAACAGAATTGATGAACATGTTTTAAATCCAAAAAGGAGTAAATTACCAAATTTTATTAGAGGCAAGCAACAGGAACAAAATGCAATTTCAAAATGACAATAAAATGGGTGTCTCTCAGTGTGGGTACTTCAAACATCCTTCCGATAGCAGATTTGGAGCCAGTCCTGATGGAGTGAGCACTGGGCGGCAGCAGTTTTTGGTTGAAATAAAAACCCGATCCCTTCCCAATAACACCCAGCTAGAAAAACTAAACGAAGAGGAAAAAAACAAGAAAATGGAGATTGCATTGAAACCATTGCCACATGTAAGACGATGGATTATTACATTATTGAATATTTCACAAACATATCAATAATTAATCTCTCAAGTTAACCATAAATGCTGAAAGTCAATACTTTATTGAGTGACAGTACTCAATACAAGCATTGCTATCACAGTAGGTCTTCCTCCTTCCACCCTTATCCACACCCACAAATATTTTTGAACCCATTAACATACATTGTAGCTCAATAGACATCTTTACCTTCATTATTTGTTAGGCCCACTTCAGACCACGTAGTGCCACTTCTGGGAGTTGATTCTTTTATTTGTAAATATTTTAACAAAAGAACATATCGCAAGGGAATGACGTGATCTGAAATAGGCAATTTGCATACTAAGTTGAAAACAGTGAGAAAATATCACAGGATTAAATTTTTATATTATTATATATTGCAGATCACAGGAGCTCACTTGTGCCAGTGCCACCTTCAGATGGAGTGCACACAAACAGACCTGACCTATTTAATGTCATATGTTCCTGAGACAAAAGTTGCTACCTATTTCCCTGTTCAAAAAAATCACATTTTATGTGAGATCATGATGGAAATATTAATACATATATATGAAAACAAATCTTTCCAAGATCCCTGGGCACATGTTGAGCATCCACATCTTAAAAAGTTGGGTAATCAGCTGGTGGGCTCAGTGCCAAGTTTTGAAAATACCCGCCACTTCAGATCCTGGGTTAATTCCGTAGCAAAGTCAACACTATGCATTTCTTTTTAAGCTACAATTACTAACTGTACTACAGAAATGATTAACTTTTAGCACAACTAAATAATATACTGTTCAGGCTACAGAAAGTTCTTGTTGTGTTTAAAACAAGGTACAACATTTATATTTCACAACAGAAAGTGTGAATGAAATAAAGATATACTGTAAAACTAACATTTCTCATTCATTTATTAGTGTAAGAAAGCAAACACTATATCTGTGAAACAATTCTATTTAATTAGCACTAAATAGTAGTAAATGGCACTAATAAGACAATAGGAAACAAAAGACATTCAAACATTTAGTACTATTTAGCACTAAATATATTTATAACTGTTTCACAGGTATAAATATTGCAGCCCTTTTAAAACGTTTTTGCTTTATTTATTTTTTTATTTATTTTTTTATACTGACCACAATTTGATCTCTGAATTTGTGTCATCTGATATCAATCAAAATCTTGTTTAATTCAAATTTTCAGTAGTCTCTATTGAAAGTTTTTATATAAAAAATGATGAAGTGGTTGTAGTTGTACTGGAAACTTTTTCCTTTGGTGCAATAGGGTCAAATAACATATTGACGATGTGAGCAAATACCTTATAGGTGCAACTCAGAAGGTCACATCTATTCTTTGGCCAGCATGCATTTAAGATTGACCAGTCTCTCATACGGCCAATAAAGTTTTCATTATAAATGCGCAGTGTAGCAACATCAAAATTTTTGCTAATCTCACTTTCATCATACTGAGGATTCATTTTCATCTGTGGCCGATTGTGAAGCAGTCCTTTTGAGTGGCATAAGTCTTTAATGCCAAACCCCTTGTCAGTGAGTACAGTGGTACCCTTCTCTTTTACCATATCTAAAACTCCACATTGTTCAGTTAATTCATTGTCTGTTATTCCTCCAGGATAGGTATCTGTACACATCACCAAGCCACCATATGGAGTCATCCATATGCCTGTCTTACCAGTGTCATGGTTCTTGTAATTACTAAATGTTGCACTACTCACATCATAGTTTTCAGGCGATGAGACCCAGTTTTCTGTACAGTCCCCTAATAGTACAGTGTCCTGAAAACCAGAAGACCAAAACTCTTTGGGTAACAATGAAATAACTTCCCCTGGGTATGGACTGAGGTCAATAGAGTCAAAAAGAGTTGAAAGAAATATTGACCATGCAGAAAAAATACGGGATATAGTTGAATCACTTGTGTTCGTGAGGAAAGCCATGACTCCAAGGTGCAATGTATGACGGCATATTGTAAAATAACACCACAATTCAGTTCTCTTTGTGAGTTTTCTTTGCCCATCTTGGTTAGTTTTGCAATCAGGATAAATTATTACAGAAATATATGGCTCGATGCATTCCAAAACACAATTAAAATCATCAACAGTTAATCCACAGTTAAAAAAATATTTGGGTCGTAACTTGAGACATTCATATGAAAATGTCAAGTCTTTCATCTTCCCTTTAAATTGTGCAATCTGCTTGCTTAAACTGTCATTTTTTTCAGTGAGGTCTTTCACTTGCTGAGACAGTCTGTTTGCCTCTTCGGTTTTGTTCTCTAGCTTTTCTTTGAGCTCTTGTAATCCTTTTTGCATTATGTCAAATTTAGATTCATCTGAATTTAAGTCAAGTGAACAGGATGAACGTATGAGTTTCCTTCTCTTGGTGTTTGTTTGCTTAGTCGTACTCAGAGAACGTTTTGCAGCAGCAATTTTACTTTGTGGTGTCACTTTCTTTGTTGTTTGTTTATTCACGTAGTCCGGGTGGCAAGCTCTATCTGGAAGATCATCCAAGTTGTCTCTAAATCCTTTCGACCAGTGTACTGAACATATAAAATCGCGTTTGAAGTCAACTGCTTTGTTCATTAATACTTTATAATAAGCATGTTGTTTGTCTTTGCATTGAGCGAAGTCACTTAAACGATAGTATTGTAATCCCTCGAGTTTAGTTCGCCAGGAGTTTGTACACAGAGCTGCAGCACAGTTCCAATGTTCACGACCTTCTTTAGTCTCTTTTCCTTGCACATTTGTGTATTTAATTGAAGGCGGATCTTCCAGGTTTTTTCGTACGCCTTTGGGCCAATGTTGTGTACAAATCACTTGTCTCTTAAAATTGACTTCGTTTATGGTTTTCCCGAGGACAAACAAATAAGCTTCGACAACAGGTTTACTAGCTGAAGCAACTTTAGTTAAGGTATAATATTCTCCTTCCGTTTTCCAGGACGCTTTACAGTATCGACTGGCACAACTCCAATGCCAAGAGGTCTTATGGCGGCGATTATCGACCGCCATTTTGAATCAGGAGTAGTACATGTACAAAGTCCGCAAAAATCCGGTAGTGCCAGTCTCCCGCGCGCCATGAAATTAGGCAATAGCAAAAGGTCCCATAGAAAAATACTCCAATGCTCTCTTATGAACCGCGTATTTGAAATCAAATTTGTAGAGATCTTGATTGATCGCCCAAGGATGAGCCTTTTTTCCTTGCCGCAAGGTTGAATACATACCGACAAAAGATTAATATTGTGTAATTCTTAGGAATTGACTTCTGAAATTTTATCTTCAGGATGAATTCAAGGATAGCTTCGGTAACAAAATCACAGTTGCCTAAACAAGAACGATTGTTCTTGCTCCAAAATCTAGGTGGCGTAGTCGAAAAGGGGATCTTACAACCATCGCGAATGGCAGACAGAATAAATTCAGAGGCTCCCAAGAGCTCCCGTAGAGAATTATGGGATTTGAGGCGACCATGAACGGAATGAGAGTCAGAGGTTGAACAGGCTGCTTCTCCCTTACTGAAATAGTAACATTGTACCTCGTCTTCGTCGCTATCATTTTCCATTAATTCCAGCTGTGCAGAATTTTTCAGACTGGCTATCGATAAAGGCTTCTCTACAGAAAGCTGAACCGGGCTGTTTGAAGGTGCTCTCCAGAGTCCCTTATGGGTTGCATTCATTAAATCTTTAAACCAGAGTAGCATCAAACCATGTCCAAGAATAAATTGGTTGAATGAAAAGCGCTCGTTGATACTGTGGGTATTAAGAGTGCTGATTTGAAAGATGAATTTTTGTGCTGCAGTTTTGCGGGTTTCCAAACTGCCTAGATGTAGGGAAAGCTGCTTAGAATGACTAGGGAGATTTAAGTGTCCAGCGACTGGTTTGGATGCTCTTGACATTTCTTTTTACGTCGCGAAGGTGTTCTCGGAATCGGTGACCTAGTCGTCTTCCTGTTTCCCCAATGTATAACTTTGGTAATGAGTGCAAGTTATCCAGTAAATGATATTGGCGGAGGTACAAGAAAAGTGATTAGTGATCCTAATTGATCTCTTGGGTTCCGACATTGCCTCTACGTTATGAATGAAAGAACAAGTTTTGCATCGTGAGCGAAGGTGTTCTCGGAATCGGCATTTGAAAGTTCCAGGCTGGTCATTGGTTTGAAATGAACTTCTGACCAAAAAGTTGCCTATGTTTTTGTCGCGCTTGAATGAAATTAGTGATGGTTGCGAAAAGATAGTACCAGTCTCTGCATCGTTTTGAAGCAATTGAAAGTTTTTAAGAATAATAGATTTAACTGCGTGCTTGTGAGAGAAACAGGATAGCCATGTTTATCGAAAAAATAGCACATCGCCCCTGATTTTTCGGAAAAGTCAGAGTCGTCACTACATAAACGACAAAGGCTGAGAAACTGTGAAAAAGGTATGGATGCGAGGATGGATGCGAAGATGAATAAAACAAGTAACTGTGTGAGTCTGTAGGCTTGCACTAAAACACTGGTGTATAGACCGTTGCCTTCAATTGTCGGAGATTTCCCAGGTATATTGCAGAGCCGGGTAAAAGGAATTGACGGCAGTTATAAATTGAGTGAACTCCTCTTTGGTAGAGGAGGTAGCGCCGATGCAGTCGTCAATGTAGCGACCGTGGAGTTCAGATTTGGGGCCGTGGTGTTAACTAAAAAACCTACGAAAAATTGTCTTCGGCTGATAACCTGTACCTCGACCTTGAATATTCTGAATACCACAAAAGTAATTGTTTATCAAGCTGATGACTGGACAAAAGCCTTTTTCTTTTTTTATTTAAATAATTATTTTACGCTCAAACCAATACTTTGCTCCACAGGCCTGAAAATTCAATAAACGACCTTGCGCTGAGAATGGTAAATGCCTTGCTAATCAACCATCGACCTTACAGAGTGGTGCAAAAGGCGAGTGACTTGTCAGCAGCTGATTGGCGATAACAAGCACATGTAGAAAAATTTTCGTAATTTTACATGTGTGCTGTTAAGGCTTTTCTCAAGGCTGAAAATCATTACAAAGCACCGCACTTCATATAATAGAAGCTTTCATCAGACAAGTGTTATGACATTTTGCATTTTGTCCCTTTATATAGAATGCATGAGAAGCAGTTGAAAGCAAGCTTAATGAAGTATTTTGGAGAAATAACAGCGAAAGTACACAAAGAAACAACCGAAGATGAACTCAAACGTATCTATGCTGCACGGTCAGCAACATATGACGAGGTATTCTAAAATAGTAAAACAATAAAAATACGGGTCTGGGGGACGATGTGGCACATTGCCGTTTGACCCACCGGACACCTGATTCATTATTCACGGTTGCGTTTCGTGAATGTTCCGGTACTACCGGAACATTCGGGCAATATTCATAGATCTTAATTAAGGGAATGATTGTGCAGTCTTCGTTCAAAACTTATTTAGTTTACCTTGTTCCCCAATATTTTCATTCTTTAAGTTCAAATTTTTTAGAGCAAAATCTCGATTTTGATTGAAAACAGATCAGCTTTTCGGGTCCGTAAAGTTACAGGAGCTCTCAAGGAAAAGGGGCTCAAGGCGACACCAGACTTGTGTCGTATTTATCGAACATCTTATCTTAATAACCGGCTTGGATTTTCTCATCATATAGGAACATTCAGCGGCGCGCACTTCATATTTCAAGCCACTGGCCGAATCTTTGCATAACGCCCTTAAAGAAGTTTACAAGGACAAACCAATGGGTCAAAATCAAAATTGACGCTGGAGCTGGGACAGGGCTGGTTGGAATTGAGCTCAAGAAACTCGGATACACCAACCTATATGTTCTGGATATCTCAACTGAGATGTTAAGGGAAGCAAAGAAGAAAGAGGTCTATACTGAGTTCATCTACACGTCTTTGAACGGGCAGTCGATACCTCAGATTAAATCAGGGCAATTCGATGCTTTGACTTGTGGTGGGGCGCTCATTACAGGGCGTATCGGCTCATCTGCTTTCGTGGAGATGATAAGAATGGTTAAAACTGGTAGGAGTTTCTCAGGAGTTTACCGAGGCACAGATGTATTTGACCTTCCCATGTCCGCGGGGAGTCTGTTCTGTGACTAATTGTTGGACTTAACTCTAAAGAATCATTTGGTCGCGGTTCCAAATCATTTGTGGTTGAAGAAATTTGTTCACAATGTTTTGAATATTTTATGCGCCATATGAAAAAAAAAGACAACAACTACAACAGAAACGGACACTAGCCTTTAAACATCATACTTTGATAAAGCTTTGAGGAAATAATTTCTTCTTCTTACCAATTGATCATAAACATTTCAATTTCCGAATAAACAAATACACCCAGAAAAAATATCTCCAGTGAAGGCCATGCCTTTAGTTAAAAATTCCTCTATTTTGGAAATTCCCTAGTTTTTCTTTGTTATTGTTGTCATGGTTATTGTAATCGATTCTGTGATTGGTGGATTTAGCTGAGAGGATTTAGTGCGATTGGCTGCTTCAACAGTCCGATTACAGGTATTCGATTACAGCCGTCCTATTGCAGCCAACTATCCGATTACAACTTTACAGAAATATGCATGATAAATGAAGCTGCAAATGCACCAATAACATTTGAGGAATATGTGATGGTTCCTTCATCCTAAGATAAAGTAGTCCTGTAGGCTTGGAGGCTTATCAGGAGGTTAAATTCTTACCTGTCGCTGTAAAGTTAAATGGATATCCCATTCTGAAAGCAAAGAACAGAATGATGTATAAACTGGAATTTTGGAATGTAGAATAAAGTATAATTAATTAGGTCGTCAATCAGTAGTCAGTCGACAGAGACGAGCACGATTTGGCTCTTGTACGTGGAGCTGTACGATTAACTGACGGGTGGGAGTTCAAAACCGGTTAGGCTTAAACGAAGAGAAAACTATCTTAACCAGCATACCTAGATGATAAAGTATTTACACGGGAGTTTTTCAGCTTAATAATCTTAATGATCTAATAAATATTCGAGTTGATGTAAGCAAGGTGGTTCTTAATTGAAATAATATCTTAAGTGTTGGAGAAACACTCAAAAAAATCCACAACCATCCACACACGTGAAGGTTTTCAGTTGGGAAAGCAATATTGCATGATTTAGCCTTCCTGATCCATTCACCCACACTCCCAGACAGATTTTTCGGGACACCCACAACTACCGCGCCTGTCTCAATGTTGGTCTGTAAGATGGTTATGCAAAAATTGGTAATTATGAAAAATGATAAGAGAGAGAGAGGGGCGAAAGAAAATCACAAAAGTTTCTTTCTGTCTTGTTTTGCTGCTAAAGTGCTCGGTTGTCGATTTTGAAATTGCTAGCATTTATCTGAACACGTTTTCTGATCTTTCTTGTACTCAGGGAATAAAATTTCACAGGATAGCTCATACTTTACAGCTTTCCGGTGTCGAACGAAGAAAACCCGAAATTAGAAATGGCTCTATTTACAAATCTTCCTTAAGGTTTAGGGGTCTTTCGTCTTTCGGAGGTAAACTGTAATGCCCCTTCTTATTTTGGATTTTTATGGTGGAAGTCAAGTAAAAACCAAAGGGTTGTGTTAGATTTGTGCTTTGATAACAGGTTTTAAGTTTGTGTTAAACGTTTCAGCCAATTTTATGACCACTGAGTTGTTCAGTGGACGAGAAGTTTCTTCTCCGTATTGACCCAAATTTCTCGAGAGTCCTGGTACTTACCAGTTCCACCTTAAAAGCTTTTTTCTCTGCTGTGTTTGAATCCAAGAAAAAAGTATCAGTAGTTTCGAAATTAGTACAATGAAAAATATCAGGAAACGAAACGCGAGTCGTAAAAGAATATTTGAAATGGCTGCGGGCTCGCCGCCCACCGGCACGCGCAAAAACGTAAGTACAACATCAGGGCAATGTCGTTTGAACAGTTTGATTTATTTCATGAAATTTCTTTAGTTTTAGCATCAAAATATCACAACAGCATTATAACTGACGTTTAAAGTCAGCTAAAACAATGATTTTCTATTATGGCCTAGATGAGTTGAGTTTAATGGCCATGGTACATGTTTCTTAGTTCTTCGAAACTTTGTAAAAGAACATCCAGCATTCACTGGGCAGGTCTTCGGCTGCGTAGAAAGGTGAAGACGCTTTGGACATGCACATCCATTCGCCGGCTTTCTCCAGCTCCGTCATCATCTCTTGATAGTGTTCTAATTCCTCCTTTATTATGTTGAAACAGAGGACGCCATCTGCAAAGAAGTTAACATCGGAATTTAGTGCGGATCTTGTAAGGTTTTGACATGGGAAAGTTCCATCCTTTTTCCTATTTGTCCGTGTATTTATTAGATTTAACTCACAGAGTTGGTTAATCCTTTTACTCCTAAGATCTCTTTAGTAATTCTCTTTAATGTCTGTCATACAATTCTTATGATGTTAGTTAGAAGAATTTGGTATTGGATTAACCAATAATACCCTCATTGACATCTTTTGTTTTCCCATTACTTGTCTGCTTGATATCATATTAATACTGTAAGGAGAAAGTCTGTCTTGGTCACTCATGGGAGTTAAAGGGTTAACCTATAACCTGTAATATCATCCAAAGAGAAGTTGAAGAGACCAGCTTGAGCGCGTGATCTTGATATATCCAGAAATTCCTTAAACGAATTTGCAGAGAGAACATTTGACCCTAGAAGAAGATATACGGGTCAGATGCCAGATGTTAAGGGACTTTATCAAGAAGGGTGTTAGGTGAGTCTTCACTACCTGATCTATCTCACGGTTTGAGTTTTCAAAAAAACAAAAATAAGCAAGCAAAAAAATTGCCAGACGATTTTACACGTTCTTCATTTTTTACAATCCTTTTTTTCAATTTTGTTAAAAAACATTATTATTTTCTCAAATGTTTATCAAAGTATGATGCTTAAAGGCTTGTGTCCGTTTTTGTTGTAGTTGTTTTTTAACAGCGTTTGAAAGATTCAAAACATTGTGGGCAAATTTCTTCAACCACAGATGCTTTAGAACCGCGACCAACTGATTGTTTTTGTGTCAAGTCCAACAATTAGCCACAAAACAGACTCCCCGCAGACATCCGTGGGTCAATTATATCTGTGCCTCGGTAAACTCCTACGAAAGACCCACCAGTTTGAACCATTCTTATCATCTCCACGAAAGCAGATGAGCCGATACGCCCTGTACTGAGCGCCCCACCACAAATCAAAGCATCGAATTGCCCAGATTTAATCTGAGGTATCGGCTGCCCGTTCAAAGACGTGCAGATGAACTCAGTATAGACCTCTTTCTTCTTTGCTTCCTTTAACATCTCAGCCGAGATGTCCAAAGCGCACAGGTTGGTGTATCCGAGTTTCTTGAGCTCAACTCCTATAAGTCCCGTTCCAGCTCCGGCGTCAATGATTTTGATCTGATCTTTTGCCTTGTCCTGGTAAACTTCTTTAAGGGCGTTATGCAAAGATTCGGTCAGTGGCTTGATATATAAAGCGCGAGCCGCTGAATGTTCCTATATGATGAGAAAGTTCAAGCTGATTATTATGATTTGGTGTTCGATAAATACGACACTAGTCTGGTGTCACCTTGGGCCTCTTTTCCTCGAGAGCTCCGGTAACTTTACGGACCCGAAAGATCGAGATTTTTCCTTCAAAATTTTGAACTTAAACAAAGAAAATATCGGGGAATAAGGTAAAATAAACTAGTTTTTGAGCTAATATGATACATGAAAATATTACTCAGTTCTGATTGGTTAAGATGAATGAAGTTGTTAGGTGATTCAATGCAGAAGAGGGTTAATTCAGTGCAAAGAAGTAGCAAACCAGACCGAACAATTCCTTCAACTGTTCATCCGGATTTTGAACTTTTTTGCGCCTTAAAGATGTGAAAATATCGTTGTATATTATTGTTTTTATCGTTCGCGGTTTTTTTGACCGAACGCACAATGTCACTTGCAGTGAAAAAATAATTTTTGCACTTGATGCGCACGCTTTGCTTCTGCATAATTATGATAAGCTATCACGTATTTTTTCATATATATTATTAATAGGTACTCACATGCTTTTTCTTGTGCAATTTGGAAGAAATAAGCACGTTCAAACTTTTTCAAAGACCACAAATTGCATTCGCCCTTCGAGCTCGTGAAATTATTTTAGTCTTTCAAAACATTTACTCGTGCTCATTTATTCCAAATAGCACTCAAAATCATATGATTACCTAGACTAAGACTGCACTATTATTCCCTCAATTAAGATCTAGGAATGTTGCATCGGGCTCGAATGTTCCGGTAGTACTGGAACATTCGAGAAACGCAACCCTGAATGATGGATCAGGTGTCCGGTGGGTCAAACGGCAATGTGCCACATCGTGCCCCAAACCCTTATTATTATTATTTTACTATTTTAGAATACCTCGTCATATGTTGCTGACCGTGCAGCATAGATACGTTTGATTTCATCTTCGGTTGTTTCTTTGGTTACTTTTGCTGTTGTTTCTCCGAAATACTTCGTTAAGCTTGCTTTTAACTTCTCATCCATTCTATATAGAGGAAAAAATGCAAAATATCATATACACTTGTCTGATAAAGGCTTTTATTATGTGAATTGCGGTGCTTTGTAATGATTTCCAGCCCTAAGAAAAGCCTTAACAGTACATGTGTAAAATTTCGATAATTTTTTTGTAAACCTCTGTAAGGTTGATGATGATTGCAAAGCGATCCTTGGAATACGAGGTTGACAAAAGCAATTCATTTCCCATCCTCTTTCAAAGCCACGCTGTTCTTTGAGTAACAAGTTGAAAAAATTAATAGCTTAGCCTTCTAACTGGCAACGAGCAATGAATAACTGATTTCAAGTTGAAAAGTTGGGGAAGCGTGATCTAAGATGTTAAAACACTCGCATTTTGAGACATCTACAAAATTCCCTACAATGACGCACTCTTTGTTCTGATAAGTGTTTTAGCATCTTAGATCATGCTTCCACAACTTTTCAACTTAAAATCAAAGAAGCTATCCACATTCAATGGGAAAAACCTACACTTAATTATCAACTTTATCATGTTAATTTAAAACTTTCTTTGTAAATGCATACATCGTTCTGTTACTATTGTTTTTTTTGTCCAGTCAGCATTTTGCTACACACTTTAAATTTAACTTTGTACTTTGTATTATTCAGAACTGAAGATGACAGAAGAACTGTCGAAACATGTTTTTAAAGAGTTTAATATCCTTTATAAAACAATTAAAGCTAATCTTCACGTCAAGTGCAGTTCTCTACCACAGACAAAACAAACAGTATCACTAGTCTCAATGTTTCTGTTGAATTTATCATAAATTTGCCTCAAAATCCTAACCATTTCTTATAGTATTTCCGAATTGTGGGAAGCAAATACACGGTCGATGGTGTTACATTTTGAAGGTGAACAAAACATGACAATCAGAAGAATAATCATACAATGGAATGAATCCAGAACAAGCTGTTCACCGTACAACACTAATTTCTGGTTACCATGTATCTGCGGCAAAAAACCATGTATCATCGGAAAAACCAAGAAAACTTCATTGCATTTGCTTTCACTCGTCTTCAATGCTTCACAATACTTTGGAATGGAAGTCCAATGTAAATTTTAAATGTTCAACGAAATGACAGTTTCAAGGCTAATATTTTCATACTAATAATGTTGAAAACATTACATTAGCTGAGCAAAAAAAAAAAAAAACGTTTCTGAAGAGTTAAGTGTTACGGAGTTAACTGTTAAGAGTTACTGAATAATGTTGTGTCGCACATGGAAGTCCAATGTAAATTTTGAATTTTCACTGAAATTACAGTTTCAAGGCTACTATTTTCATACTAATGATGTTGCGAACATTACAGTAACTGAGCAAAACAAAAACGTTACTGAAGAGTTCAGAATAATGTTGGGTCGCACTTAGGGAGAAAACTATGCCTCGTCAAGCCCATCATACTCAGCAAAAAGTATTAAGTACTCTCGATCTGCCTTTCTCGGTTCTCCAATACAGAATCAATTCTACCTACATCCAATTTTTCCCACTCTGTGGAACTCTGGTTAATTTCTTCGACTCTTACGATTTGATTCTCTCTGAATACTTTTTACTGACCTCTCCCGGAATTGTTCTTGTGATTTGTTCGTCGAGTTACAGTTTCAAGTGCAAGGCTACTATTTTCATACTAGTGATTCTGCGAACATGACTTTAGCTGAGCAAAAAAAAATACGTTACTGAAGAGTTCAGAATAATGTTGAGTCGCACTTAAGGAGGAAACTATGCGCTGTGAAGCCCACCATACTCAGCAAAAAGCGCTTAGTACTCTCGAGCTGCCTTTCTCGGTTCTCTAATACACAATCAATTCTACTTACATCCAATTTTTCCCCAGTCTGTGGAACTCTGGTTAATTTCTTCGACTCTTACAATTTGATTCTCTCTGAATACTTTTTACTGACCTCTCCCTGATTTGTGTCGTGCATGCTACTAAATGAACTATGAAGTACATGCTTACATAGTCACTAAAGATAGGCATGGGTGGGCATGCCAATCAACTAGCCTTGAATGATTATTTTAGACCACGGTGTCTACAAAATAGACAATGAATCAAGCAAGGCGAATCTATTACGCGGGTCGCTTAAACGCAAAGAATTCTGAAATTTTTCGCTCATAAATGGTATATTTAGTTTTTCTTTATAAAAAATGTGAGATAAAAATATTAGAGAATACTCGAAGATCAGATTTCAAAATACTTAAAAGTACATTTTGGCTAAAACTATCATTTTTTCTATTTCAGAATACACTGTCTCGTTCTAAAATAAACGAAATGTCTGGTAGTCAGAAATTTTCACAGAATTTCCACCGAAAGGTTCTTTCAAACTTGTTAAGATTATCAGATGTTTGTTTAAAAATGTCAGATTAATTTGGCTTTTAAGTGGACAAATTATCCGTGTTGTGCAGCCTATCATGTCGCCCGGTTGTCGACACTTTGTACGCTTCTGATAAGACTGTCGGGCACGGTCTCGAATAGACCAAATGCCCGGCAGTCAGAATTTTTCAAAGTGCCTCTAAATGGTTCCATTCTCTATTGATCAAAATGTTAGATAAAAATAGTACAGAATACTTGGCGATGAGATTTTAAAATACTCAAAAGTACATTTTGGCTAAAACTATTATTCGCTTTAGTTTAAGAGCAAGTTGTTAAACCGTTATTTCCGTAGAGTTTATTTTTTTTTTTAGTAAAAAATTCGACGGTCTCGAATAGACCAAATTCCCAGCAGTGAGAATTTTTCAAAGTGCCTCTAAATGGTTCCATTCTCCATTCTCCATTGATCAAAATGTTAGATAAAAATAATAAAGATTACTTGGCGATAAGATTTTAAAATACTCTAAAGTTCATTTTGGCTAAAACTATCATTTTTTTTAGTTTAAGAGGAAGTTGTTGAACCGTCGTAGTAAAAATTCGATTTGTTTTACATTTATGGAGCGCTGTCTTTTCCCAAAAGTTTTAAATTGCAAGAAAACAATATCCAAACAATTTCGGTTACGTTGTTTTACATTGTGCGTTCATGGAAACATAAAGCGCGTGGAAAGTTTTGAGATCACTCAAGAAGCTAGACTTGCTCTCGGCGACGCCTCGAGCAACTTCTCTGTCGCTGTCTAAATTTCCCATATATCGGCCATGAGCGCACGCTAACGTAAGAACCAACTGTTAATTCAAAATGACAGTATGGCCAACTAGTGGATACCCTGTATAGAACATGGAAATATCAAATGTTGGAAGAAATATCATGAAAAGGAATTGATTGAATCAACGGTTTTTGATATCTCTGCTTCAATAGGCTTGTGGAGTGATGGTCTTGAATCTGTTCATGGGTGCACAGCTGTCTTGAGGTTGCGACGTTTGAGAGTCATGTAGCCGAACTAAAACCGTGTGTACCTGATCTAGAAATGTATATAAGCAAGCAGCTGCAGACCCATGCGGTCACAGCTGCTTGGGTTAATCAACCAAAATCTTTGTTTCACTGCACAGAGTGGGTTGACTAATCTCATGTTATGACTATATTTGGTCATGGATGATGACATCAAGTTCTTTGGCCTGACAATTTTGGGGTGGGTAGTACTGTTGGCACGCATATTTATTGCAGTATTTGTTTGTTATTATAACGCGATATAAGTTAAGTGCAAGAAGGAACACCACTGCCGCCACGGTGCACACCATCAAAGTAGGAATTTGTCAGTTAAGAGTGTGGCGTTCTCTGAAGTGAAGAGACCCTGAATAACCTTCATAACGTTAATTTATGCGATGTTCAGGTGGCTTTCATATTAACGGGTCACGTGACAGACTGTGTCAGGCGTACATGAATTAGCCAGATCAAGGAATCTAGAAAGAACTGTAAATAACAGAGCTGCCACTTGTTACGCCCTTATGTCAAGAATCGTTTATAATAATATAATTCCAAGTTTATCCAGAGAATCTTTTAAAACATTTGCAGAGAAAGCTTGCAAAATTGGATGCAAATCCTAGTTCTGATAACTCGAACACTTTTTCGTGGGATTCCGTCATTCATGTACACCGTAGGGTATATCCCCAGATGCCTTTAGAAGATAACAGCATAAATCTGACACATGTTGAAAGGCCAAATTTTGTTTTTCTAACACACATTTCAGTTGTCTTTGTAAGTGACTTCTTCTTTCTTTATTACATCTAGGAATTTTCCAACGTTAACGTTGGAAGCATATTTTTGGAGAGCGTAGATTTATTTCAAGCTTACGAAATTTTACTATTCAAAACAGGTTAAGTGTCCTCGTATATCCAACGTTTTATTAACACGACACAAATATCAATTCTGCACTTACCGTATTTCTTCATCTATAGGCCGAGCGATTTTTTCAGTATTTGACACGAAAGTTTAGTAGATTTTTCCAAGAGAAACGGGGTTAAGCTTATAGCCAAGGGTTTGGAATTCAAAAACAAAGTCTAATTGCAAACGAAATGACGGTAAATTCTCTGACTGTAGCGCTCTTTAAGTGACATGCTTTAAAATTGCCATGACAACAACGTATTTCTGACCACCAATCAGACTCTTTGCTTCCCACGCATTGAAAGACGATCTCACTCGACTCAGCAAAACTCTTCTCATTTCGCATTAGACATGAAATATTTTGGTCTCTCCGCTGTGAAAACCACTCCATCACTTGCTCGTCTATAGTTCGGAGTTCTTGGAAGTGAAACGGCCCATTTTTGCACCTTTGCAGTCATCTTAAGCTCGCCAGAAAGAATAGTCACCTGGTCTCTTCTCCAGCGTTGCACCATGGACTCGCTAAGTCCTTAATCTCAAGCGACTTTTGAGTTTTTTTTTCCTCAGCTTCCACGATAACTTTTATATTGAAAGCCATAGTGTATGAAGAGCAGCGTGCTTTTGGTATGATGAGAGAAAAAACAGCAACGAAAGAGATACTCAACTGAAACGTTTGTCAGGTTACAGTAACTGAGATTGTTGTTGTGTTTCTGCAGTCGCGTGGTAGTATTTACATCTTCACTGGTTAGCTTTTTTTCTTTTGTGTTTATTTCAATTCATTAGCTCACTCAAATGACTGGTTTCAATCAAGAATTTCGCTTTCGGCTTATAGCCGATAGGTTTTCTTTTTTTTTTTTTGGACAACACAAGTCTGTTGTAAGGTATCTAACTTTTAGGGTCTCGCCTTATAGCCGAGATCGCCTTATAAGTGAAGAAATACGGTACAAAGGCATTTCAATCTGGTTCTGAGATTTCTTTCATTTATAAGACCGCTGTATCTGCATTGCTGTGATCCCTTTGGAAGAAAAAATAGCTGCTAAGAATATTCCTAAATGTGTGTGGTAACTTGACCTTCGCAGAGTAAAATTTCAATATTTCACAAGTACTTCACTATTTTTTTACAGAGTACGGTTAGCCCAGAATCGATTCGTCTCCTATTTTCTCGTAAGATTTAATCATTTTATTTGCTTATTGTTTATTTTAAGATGACATGTCGTGAAAATCCAAAGTGTCGCAAAATGGACTTGAATTCATTTATTCTTGCTCCTGTACAACGAGTTATGAGGTAAGTTAAAACTTGATTGGCCCTTACCCTAACCCTAAGTAAGTCAATCAGGCAGACGATTAATTTTGTCTTTAAGTGGGTCAGTCAATTCGATAGAACGTACGTAATTCACTCAGTCAGTCCAAGTGTATGTACTCTGTGATGCCCTCGAAGGTGTCCTGATCATTAAACTGTTTGTTGAAAACCTTAACTTTGAAAGTCTTTTCTTCAGTTTTTACCTTGTGGGGTAAGTAAACTAATGACCTTAACAACTGTAAACGATAGGATGCATTCCATGTCATTTGTAAGATTTACTTTGTAAAGTATCATACGCACTTGGTTTCAAAATCTTGTTAAGTTTTGTCAAAAAAATTTGGTAATTATATACGCAGTTGAAATATTTGATAAGTGCAGACTCTATTACCCTGAAATCGAACACCTTCATTTCGATTCCGTTCGCATGAAAGCGCGCGATATATATGTTTACATGCAGCCGTCAATTCTTGGGAGAAAATGTTGCCTCGTCATATAATTGCGTTGAACGAAGGAGAACGCATACTAATCGTGTCGTTTTTGGAGAAATCACTCTTAATGGACTAATGGATTTAATGGACTAGTCCCAAGGGGATCGCCATTTTGGACTGGCTGGCTGGCTGGCTTGGCTATGTGGAACAAATAGCCTCGATCTCACGTGCAAATGTTTTCTTGGCTGCCTTGAGCCAAAGACACCAATTTTTTTTTTCTCTGCGCAATCAGTAAAAAATAAAATAAAAACTTTTACTAGAGATCGAACGCACTTTGCTAATCTTTAATTATCACTAGTTATAGATTTTTTTCGGTCCTTCATGTTGGTTGAAGTCTTCGCCAATCTTCATCGCTGTCTTTATAGCTCGATTGCTATGGAGAGTGAGCTATTTTAGAATATTTCCCAAGTTTCAGGTCTGTAGCAATTTCCACTGATGACGGATATAAGCGATACTCACAGCTATAAACACTACTGAACGAGTAGTGTAAATAAGACCTGAAAAAAAATTTAGGCCCTTAGGTCATGGTTCAAATCCCGTACGGGCCTGAATTTTTTTTGGGTCTTATTTCAACTATTCGTTCAGTAGTGTTCATAGCTGCGAGGATCGCCAATATCCGTTTCTTCTCCGCAGTGTACTGACGTAAATTTACAGCGCTTCGGATGGGAACGCCAAGTTGATGCCCATGCCCACCTGCATGGGCATCACTACACAAGTAGCGGCCATGAAGTAATGCAAACATTTGCTGTCTTGTTTGGCTTCTAAAGTGATTAGTTATCGATTCTGAAATTGCTAACATTCATCTAAACACGTTTTCTAATCTTTCTTATGCTCAGGGAATAAAATGTCACACAATAGCTCATATTTTACAGCTTTCCGGTGTCGAGCGAAGAAAAACCGAAATTAGAAATAGCTCTATTTTCAAAATAGAGAACTCCACGATGCTGAAACCTTTCTGAAGGTTTCAGAGGTCTTTCGTCTTTCGGAGATAAGCTGTAAAATCCCCTCTTATTTTTATTTTTATGGTGGAAGTCAAGTAAAAACCAAGGGTTGTGTTAGATTTGTGCTTCTCAAACAAGTTTTGAGTTTGTGTTGAATGTTTCAGTCAATACTAAGACCCCTGAGTTGTTCAGTGGATAAGCAGTTTCTTCTCCGTCTTGGCTCTAAATTTTTTAACTTTTTTAAAAAGGCATCTATATTTTCGAAATTTTTAATATCAGGAAATGAAACGCAAGCCGTGACAGAAAATTTGAAAAATCTGTCGGCAGGCGCTGTCCACTGGCATTTGCGAAACTGTAAGTACAACATCAAGGCAATGTCGTTTGAACAGTTTGATTTGTTTCATATACTTGCTTTTGATTTAACAGCAATGAAAACATCACAACAGCATTATAACCGATGTTTCAAGTCAGCTAAAACAATAACTTTCCTGTATGGCCTAGATAAGTTAGGCGTAACTGCCATGATACATGTTTCTTAGTTCTTCGAAACTTCTAGCAATCGCTGGGCATGTCCTCGGCTGCATAGAAAGGTGAAGACTCTTTGGACATGCATATCCAATCGCCGTCTTTCTCCAGCTCTGTCATCATTTCTTGATAGTGTTCTAATTCCTCTTTCCTTATATTGAAACAGAGGACGCCATCTGCAAAGAAGTTCACATAGGAATTTAGTGTGTTTCTTGTAAGATCTTATCATGGGAAATTTCCATCCTTTTTCCTATTTGTCCATGTATTTATTAGATTTAACTCTCAGAGTTCGTTAATCCTTTCACTCCTAAGATCTCTTTAGTAATTCTCTTTAATGTCTGTCATATAATTCCTATGATGTTAGTTAGGAGAATTTGGTGTAGGACTAACCAATAATACCC